CGGAGGGAGCGAAGTGCGCCGACTGGCAGAGGCGGCTCGCCTTAGTAGTCCCGGCTGGAGGCGGGACCGGAGGCGGAGCACGCCCCTATCGTCGGCGCGTGCAACGCCACGGCGACTGCTGGACAGCAGTGCCCAAGCGCGCGGTGCGCCCGGGACCACACTCGCGAACCGCGACACTCCCGAGAGCAAAAGCGAGATGCGCCCAAGGGAGTGCGCAAACGACGGTGGCCCCAAGGGGAGGCTAACACCGAACGTTTGGCTAAGGCCCAGAGGGGTGCGGTAAGTGCGATGGCATGGCTGCTCCTAACAATGTCTCTACCTAGACGGCAGTCCCTACTCGTCATAATTGTCATGACAGATCAGGGGTGCCTTAAGGGCGACCCAAAAAAAGGAGCACGCCAATACCAAAAAATTCGACCGAAAAGGGACGCCTTAAGGGCGTCTCAAAAACAATCATCTACAATAACCGAATGGAAACACAGCAGAATAGAGGTGCCTTAAGGGCACCCCAAAATACAAGGGCGGTTGCCTTAAGGGCAGCCGCAGAGACAATAGCAGACGTCTTAAGGACGCCTGAAAAACACCGGGAGTGCCTTAAGGGCACTCAAAAAGAGATCACATATCGTAACTGCTTGCGTCGTAATCCTCCACTCTCCACCGAACGTCGACGTTGAACTGCACCGAAGGGCGAACCATCTCCAGCGAAGTTCCTCGACCGCGACAGCAACGGAGTAAAGCAACGTGACGGTTTGAGTTCGACGGCCGTCGTTGGTGCCACGTGCCCATCTTCGTTGACTGTCCTTGCCCACTATCGTCGACCGTCCTTGCCCATTTTCGTCGGTCGAACCTGAAAGTAGAGGAATACGGCGACAATGTGTTTCCACTTGGCAAACACAGCGGTAAACGCCGGAACAAAGCGGTAAAAGGCTAAACAAAGCGGTAACTTGTGGGACACAGCGGTAATTCAAATGTGCTTGAACTCAAGCAATCATTTGCGCGGTAATAAGTCTGAATTTAGCGGTAAATCGACGTCGCGTACTGTTTAGTACGGGCGTCCGCGGTAACTGCCTCCTCCCCTCGAGGATCCTCTCGAAGGTGGTCCTCTCGATCTCGACCGATTATCCCGAGGGGGAGGCCTGCGCGAAGAAGATCTCGGGCGAGCGGGAGGCCTTCTCGGCGGAGGACTTGCCCATCCGGGAATGTCCTCCCTCGTACGATTGAAGGTGTCCCTCGCGAGATCATCGTAGAAGCGGGAAGCTTGGATCGTAATGTCAACGATCGCATGCCTGTTGAGCACGCAAATGGCCTGGTGATGGCCTCTTCGCGCGCATAACAAGCATTTCTCCATGCGGGAACAGTTGCCATAGTGCTGCTTCAAGCAGTTACTACAAATCCTCTCACTTCGAAGAATATTAGCTCTCTCCGTGAGGCGTTTGTAGAAGTGGCATTCAGCGGAAAAGTGCCCTCTGCCAGAGCAGAAGACACACGGCGGTTGGGAGCTCCTGGGTTGCTCCTGAGGCGGCAATGGTGAGTGCTCTCTCGAGGAGTCTCTTCCTCTGCCTCCACTCGAGAGGCCCACTGAATCATGGCGGTAACGTCGCGGCTCGACCTCTCCCATGGCCCCCGTCGTGGACGGTCCACGGCCACGCTTTCCCCTCACGGTAGAACTGGACGAAGGTCCATCCTGCCGAGAGCGAGAAGAAGTGGGGGCACCGGGAGTTGACGGTCCACGGGATGCAGTCGAGGGCAAAACCTTCTGCGGTAACTGGACATTGCGGAAACCTCCTGACTTGAACTTCGGCTGTGATGCCGGAGTTGAGGCCGGAGTAGATGTAGGCGGTAACACTGGTGGCAGATTCTGAGCATACTGCTGCGCATGCCCTTCGACCTGATCGACGATCTGCTTCGTCTGGCCATGGTCTAGGGCTTGCGAGTAGTTGTCTCTCCACCACTGAAGTGTCTGCGTGAATGTCGCATTGGACGCGGGAAGATCGCCTGGAGGGGCTTGGTGGACGTCCTTCAGAAAGGTAAGGGCGTCTGCCTCGCCTCCCTTCAGGTCTGCGATAATAGTAATTTGCATTGTCTCTATCGCGCGCAGATATCGTGTCAGAAACGCACTCAAACCTGATGCGCGTGCCAACAACGATGATATTTGCGCAACAGAAACGTTGCAAACCTTTAAAGCGTCATGAAGGCGCTTGCGGTAAGTGTCATCAAGAAGGCATTCTGAAGGATGTCCTATGAACTGACATTGCGGTAAGGGAGTGGACAATTTCTTGTGCCCACGCGGTAAGAACACAGAAACTGAAGTGCTCGGGTGGCAGTACTGTGACCGTATTCGCGAGTTGTGTGATGAGCCTGGACGCATTGTCCGTGGTTCTCCGCAACAACTCAAGCGAATTGACGATGCTCAGTATCTGCGCCCGAGTCTCCATGCTCATCTGATTAGCGGGCGCTATTTGGCGTTAAGTATTCAGACTCGTATTGTCTGATGAAGCGGTAAACTGTCGCTAACTGCAATGCGGTAAGTTTTTCGGGTAAGTCTTCGACGGTATGCTGATTGACGAAGAACGAACTGTCCGGCGACACTGGCGGTAACGGGAACACATCTGATGGTGCGGGATTTCTCCGAATGTGTCCCTTCTGCTGGTCAGACGGACCAGATTGGCCCGTTTTATCGCGAAGGCTCTCGAATTCACGTAGATATTCGTCATGCGCCTGGCGCATGGCGTTACCCACGTCTCGTAGAATACGAGAGTAATCGACGATATTCTGACTGCGCGGATCGAACGTTAGTTCGAGCGGTAAATTTTGCGGTAATTGAGCAGGTTGTTGTTGCCCCGTCGCTGGGACAGCTGAGACCGCGGTTTCTGCTGGTCGCTGCGCGACGAAGGGAGACTTAACAACCTTCTCTTTGATGCGTTGCATCTGCGGTAATGGCTTACTTGCGGTAACGTCCGAAGACGGTGGCGGTAATTGACCCTTACTTGTCGATGGTGGTTGCTGCTCCGGAGGAACAGACTGGTCCATCTCTTCCTCTCCCGCTAACTGGGCTGGAGTCAGCTTCCTCCACTTAGACAAGTCGTCTGGGTCGTTCTCATCTGGATAGCCAGGGTCGCTACTTCCCGTATCCGACAAAGGGTAGTCAGCACAGAATCTCGCCTCTGGCTTGGTGGGATCCACCAAACCAGCGCGGACCAACGACTCAAACGCGAATGCCCTTCCGGGTATGATGTTCACGTTGTCGCTGAATGTGCCTGACAGTCCCTCGATCTGATCGCGAAGCGGATCCGATGGCTGCGGTAAGGCGGCGGTAACATCCTGTTGTGGAGCTTCTTCAGCTCCCTGCTGCTGAGCGTCCTCAGCTCCCGACGCTTGAGCCTCCATGGCTCTCTCCTCCTCCACCACTGGCGTCGAAACTGAAGCTGACGTTGGCGACGTCTTCTTCTTCTTCGACGCTCTCGACGACCTCTTCCTTGCCATAATTCGAAAGCACGTTACAGATGTCGAACACCTGAAAAACAAGATGTAATCACAAATGAAACGTACATCGAAATGGTAGAAGGAAAAAGCGATGAGAGAAGAAGAAAGATATGCGGTAAGATAAGGTGAGAAGCGATCGTGTGCACTGAGGGTAGTAGAGCGAATGACTGCCATCGATCGATAGTCATCCACGTGGCATACGATTGCCGCTCGCCTTATGCGGCAATGGGTCCTGCGGCGATGCACGCAATGCGCACAGCGCAGCAGGTCGATGCGGTAAGCAATGGAAACGGCGAAACGAGCAAAAAGGGAAAGAAGGGGTTAAGAGAAAGTACTACTAATGGCGTTTTGCTCGCTTCACTCGTCTCGGCGGTTGAGTCCTCGTAGGGGTTGGTGAGGATGATTCTGCGGTAAGTTCTTTCTCTACATGGATCTCTAGCGGAATAAGGTGCTTGATGGAGCGATCCAGAAGAGTGTTTTTAGCGGTACGGATCTGCGCGGAGCGCGTATGGCCATCTTTGGATACGTGAAGGCGAGTGATGACCGCGAGAGGCCAATGAGCTCTCGGCATGTCTTCCGTCTTCACGACCACGAGATCTCCTACGGCTGGTCGCGCCTTAGATCCTGGTGCGTTCTTGGCCAGTTTCTGTTGGCGTTGGGCGAGCGTCTGAAGATAGTCCTCGCGCCAAAGCTTCCAGAAATGGTCAAGTGCGGTAACTAACGTATCGTAACTCTCTCGAAGTGCCTCTTTCGTCAGTGAATCGGAAAGATCATAGACGTAAAAAGGCGACTGGCGAGAGGTTGCGGTAAAATATCCTACATGGAAATAAGGGCTGATAAGATCAATGGGTCGAAGCGTGTTAAACTGCACGGAGGATGCAGTGCTCAACGACGTCAAAGGACGGGTGTTGAGCGTCGCTTCGATCTCAATGATCAGCGTTTCGAAGAGGCGGTAAGTAAGCGTATTGGTACGAACGGTTTTCCATAGGGCGTTTTTCACCATTCCGACCAGTCTCTCATAGAAACCTCCCTTCCACGGTGAAAGTGGAGTAATGAAGTTCCATTGAAGACTGTGTTTCGTGGTGAAATCCGTCACGTTCGTATCGTTTGCGATTCGTAGAAGTTCATTGACGAGAATATCTCGTCCTAGCTTAAACGTCGGTGCATTGTCGCTAATGAGGAGGTCTGGAGTTCCTCTTCTAGCGATGAAGCGACGAAAAGCTAGTACGAACTCCTGTGCGGTATTATCGAGAACGAGTTCGAGATGTAAAGCGCGTGTTGTCATGCATGTGAGCAGACAAACCCACACCTTACGAGTCTCTTGCTCGTTTGCGGTAACTTGGAATGGACCAAAGTAGTCCAGACCGGTGTTCTGAAATGGTCTGGATCTAGTGATCCTTTCCAGCGGTAAATCTGGTGCGATAGGGTAGCTGTAGGGACGACCTTGATGTCTCTTACAGACTACACAGCGAGAAAGAACCGATTTCACTGTTCTATGCATGCGAGGCATGAAGAACAGGGGTCGGAGCGTAGCGGTAATATGATTAGCGCCTGCATGGTGTAACTTACAATGCCAAGAGGTGATAATCATGGCGGTAAACGGGTGATTCGGCATGAGCAGAATCGGATGATTCTGCGAAGATGACTGTTCTTGGCGCATGCGAGTGTTAACTCGAATGATGCCAAATGAGTCGCGGTAAATGTCTTGCCGTGTCGAATGCACAGCTTCTCTCTGATGCTCACGTAGCAGAACGAGTTCTGCTGTGCGTATTTGCTGGCGACTAATTGTTCGGAATTCGAACAGCGGTAAAAATTCGTCAATACGTTTACGTGTCTCGGATGAGACTTTGTCGTAAACTGTACTGCGAAGGAAACGAAGAACGTACGCGGTAATACGCACTAACCTGTCGTAGTGACTGGTGTGTGCGAGCGGTAAAATGGACACATGAGACGGATTCGAAATCACAGTCGTCTCCTTATACTCAAGATCTGTTTCCAGAACTGAGCTGGGTAAGACTGCGAAGTCGACTTCCGAATCTGGCCATTGTGACGGCGGTAAGCAGATGTGTGGTGGACCTTTCCACCAAATGTGCTCAGAGATCTCTCGAGCTGAGAGTCCTCTTGTTGCACAATCTGCTGGATTCAGGTCTGTGTTAATGTAGTGGAAAGGCGGTAATAACTTTGGAGTCGGCAAAGGTATTAAGAACGGTGCGAATCTTCTTTACCCGGTTCGCAACAAAGGTTTTAAGCGGTCTACTGGAATGAATCCAGTAGAGGGCTATGTGCGAGTCGGAGAAGAAACGAATCGTCTTAATAGGTGTTTTCAGTTCTTTATAAAGGAACTGAGCGAGAAGTACTGCACTGAGGCAAGCCATGAGCTCCAGGCGAGGAATGGTTACCTCGTCCAGCGGAGCTACTCTGGCTTTAGCCATGAGCAGATGCGATTGAACGTTGTCGCCAGATCTGCTTAGTAGATAGGCGACTGCGGCAAATGCATGCTTGGATGCGTCGGCGAAAATGAGTAACTCGTGTTCGGAGTCTGCATCTTTATGCACAATGAATCGGGGAACAGAACACCTGTAACCCTCGATTCCGTCCACGAGTTCGTTCCATCTAGCAACATCTTGATCACTCAGAGGCTGATCCCAATCCTGTTTAGCCCTCCAAAGGTCCTGCAAGAAGACCTTGGGTCGGATAAACAGGGGAGTGAGGTAGCCCAGAGGATCGAAGTTCGAGGCGATTGCCCGTAGGACAGTCGCTTCGTTGTTGCTTTGAAGGAAGCTAGTTTTGCGGTAATATGGAGAGTATCCTGTCGCGGATTCCAACGAATGCCAAGTAACTTGACAGTGTCGGATGTGATTCTCATGCGATCTTCAGCGGGAATAATCTGCATAACGCGGTAATTGTTGCTCATGAACTCTCGGAGATTCATTGCCATCCGTTCAAAGGTGCTTTTGCAATCTCTCTGCTTCTTAATGCACTCATCAGTACACTTGGCTCCGATGAGAACATTATCCACATAGATGTTTGCTAGCACTTCGTCACGGATGGTGTTCTCCGTATCTCGTTCAAGCGCGTACTTGATCGAGATGTTCAAGAGGAACGGCGAAACGTTGATTCCGAAAACGACACGAGTAAATCGAAGGATGCGGAGATTCTCTGAGGTCGGTGGACGTGAGACGTCCTTCAACCACAGTAGTCTCGTTGCATCCCTTTGATCGTGCTGTAAGCGGATTTGGTGGAAAGCTTTTTCCACATCTGCGATAAGAAGATAGCGGGAAAGTCGTGCGCGTAAAAGTGCTCCTGAAAGATCAGGAAGCAATGATGGTCCTTGATGCAAACAGTCATTAAGGCTAGGTTGACCCTTGAAATGACTTGATGCATCGAAGACGATGCGCAAAGCGGTAGTGGCGCTGTCCGTCTTGATGACCGCTTGGTGCGGCATATAGTACACCTTCGGACCATCGAAAACGGATTCTTCAGCGTCCTCTAAAATTCCTGCGGTAATATTTCTCTCGAAGGTGGCGCAGTACTGGTCCCAAAACTCCGTTTTGGTGTGGAGTGACTGGTACTGCTGTTCCAATCTTCGGAGTGCGAGAAGTTTGTTATCCGGCAATGGTGGATGGTTTTCTTTCCACGGAAATTGAACGTATATGACGCCGTCAATGACTTGAACAGTGTCATAAAAACGTTTAACAACTTGGCGATTAACCTCATCATCATGCTCTGTGCTCGGATCATCGTGAATGCCGAGGGATTCAAGATCCCAAAGCCTACGAAGATCGAAGTCAGCAGCATGCTGAGTGGTAGCGAGAACAACGTTGGCTAGTGAAACGTTTGCGATAATGGATGATGGAGAGCGGTAACGTTGCTGACCGGACAACGTCGGTCCAAAACGAGTATGCACGTACGTCAATCCTGATGGAAGTCGGCGAATCCTTGCTGGATCGACGATGCTCCAATAGTAATCGATGCCAATGAGGATGTCCACATCGACTTCCTCTTCTTGGTTCGACGACTCTGAAGCATTCGGGCGTACCCAACGAGAACTTCGTCCGGATTCGTGAAGGATATGAGCGTTCGCGCGTATCGTCGTGGTTACCTTACGTGTCCTAAGTCGTAGGCGCATAGAGGCGTTAACTTGATCGTGAATCACTATTGTGACTAAGGATGACATCTCTGTGGAGACGTGTCCTCCAAAGCCGCGAGTAGTGAACGGGCATGGTTCGGAAAACCGGAGTCCAAGCCGTTTTGCGGTATCTTCTCTGATGAAGCTGTGCTGCGCTCCACTGTCGAGCAGCATCACAAGAACTTCATCTTGGCGAGTATTCATGTTCGTAGACCTAGAAGTAACCACCATGAGTCGGGGATCGACTGGAAGTGAAGTCGAACTGTTGACCACCGAGTAGTCAAACGGCTCAAAATCACTCCTGCTCGGCTCGTCCGTCTCTGGTGTAACTCCTGGGTTTAACATGGTTGCGGTAATAGAATTTTGACGAGAGTTCGAGAGCGAACGTCTTCTCCCAACTGGACGTGGTGAACGACTTCGCATGGGAACTCTGTCGGGTTCGCGAAAAGAGACCTCTCGAGACGGATACCGTCGGTTCGCGGAAGGTGACCGCGATTGCGATCGGTATGCGTTCGAGGATCTGCTTGCGGATCTTCTCGGAATGGGTGTAGGATACCTGGCGCGTCCGCGCCATGGACTCTGCTGACGGTCAGCACGGCCCCGTGATTGACACAGTGACTCGTGGTGATCTCGTCCGCAAAGCGCACATAGCGGCTGGTTACACGTGGTGGTCCTATGCCCTTTAGCGAAACATCTGCGGCAAAGATTCTCTGCGGTGATGACTTTCTGTCTGGCCTGTGGAGACGTGACCAGATCACAGTCTGCGGAAAGATGGTCAGGCCTTCTGCAGAACACGCACTGCAGCTTGTGCTGCGTGGGTTCTGCACGTCGACCTGGTGTGGAGGATCTAGTCCTACTGCGATAACGAGTGAACTGTTCGGAACGATCCGTGTCCCTAAAGGGGGATCGTCCTCGCTGCGATGATTGGACAGCCAGTGCTTGCAGATGTGCAGGCTTCTGGTCTGCCGTATCGGCGATAACTTCGAACATCCTGATAGCACGATCCAGGCCATCGAGGAGTTGCGGAACTCTCCATGGGTTGGGGTCCGCTGTCTCCAAGCTGCCTAGGTGCTCTAGGGTTCGCTGCGGAAATTTCTGGCGAATAAAGCGCATGACGTAGATATTGTCCTCACTGTCTCCGTGCTTCTGCATCTGGAGCCATAAGGACTTTATCTGCGCCAGCGTTGTGCGTTGCTGCAACGCAGAGGTACCAGCCGGCTTCATCTGTTGAAGTCGTGTACTCAACTGCGTGCGTATCAATTGAGGGCGGTAATAAGTTTCGCGCAACGTACGCACGGCGTAGTCGTAATTCTCTGCGGTAATGTCGTACCCTGCGACCACTGATAGAGCTTCTCCTTTGGAAGACTTTAAGGTGGTGGAACTTCACAATTGGCGGTAAGACTGAGTTGCGTGTATGGCCGAATTGTACGCGTCCCAGAAGGATGAGAAACTTCTCGATCTCACCTACGAAAGTAGGAGCTCGAATTTGGGAAGGCGTACAAATTGGTCATGCGTAAAGAAGGTACCGTGTGAAGGCTTGGTGCCTCCTGCGGTAAAGAGTGCTCTGGTTGGGACCCATTGCTCTCTGCGATGCGTCACGCTGCTCCGCGGAAATTCTTCCTCAGAGCGTGCATGGCGCTAGCGGTAAAGTAGGCGATAAACAGGTGGTCGCTCAGAAGCTCTTCCCGAGGACGTTGATCCTCAGGTCGAGTTCTGGCTGGCGTCGTCACTGGTGTTGTCAGCGAACTTCACGTCTCAGTGAGAGCATAGTACTCTCAATCTGGCTACTTAGTGCTCTCTTGGACAGACTGCGGTAAATGTGTGCTGCAAAAGCGCAGTTCCACTTCGAGGCGGTTAATGAGGTTCCTTGCCTCGGCGCGTGCCCGATCTCCTCCTTGGGTGCTCCAGTGAGAAGAGCCAGTCATACACTGCCGGAGCGTTGGTCCCTCTCACCGTCCTGCGCGATAACCCTACAACCATCTCCCAATGGCTGGGTGCGAAAAGCATGTCGCGAAGCTGGCATGCGCGGTCATGAGCTCACGCGCCCTGCTTCTGACAAATGCTGGCGGTAAGGGTTTTCATCGTCATCAGCACTCTGTGCCCATAATGTTGTCGTCGATTTTGTTGACGACTTGCTGGAGCTCTTCTATCGTTCGTTGCAGTTCGCGAAACAACAGTCATAGATCACTGGAATTGCATAGCGATCCCTTTGATTAGGCTGTGCGCATAATGCCTTTATAGCGAGTTATTGCGTAAAGGCAATCGATGCGCCGGCTCGCATGGGAATGCAGCCTGCCGCAATCGATTGTCTGGCGCTCTCTCGCTGCGCGAAGTATATCCGCGCGCGAATCCTTTGAATTGTGTCGCTCCGTGAAAAGTGCTCTTTCTCATGAGAAGTGCTCCAAAGGCTGGGAAATCGTCCAATTCCCATCGCTTAGATCGATAATGGCTCGGCGAAGCAAGTAACGCCGATATCGATCGAGTAGATGGAAAAGGGGAAAATAGGCGGAAAAGGAAAGATCGAAAGGAATAGTCCTCAACGATAGGAAAAGGTAGGAAAAGCGACAAATAGGAGAAAGGCGAAAATCGACCCAAAAGGCATTGGGCGATAATATGGATCGGAAACGATCAATGCGTAAATGGATCGGGTTGCGTCAATATTGCGTATTGATCGGAAAAGATCAAAGCGGTAATATTAAGCGGTAATCGATGTCGGGTGGTTTCGACTTAAGTCGAGCGGTAAATCGATCTGTAGTGCCGATGTGTAATATAGATCCGTGAGACTATGTTGGCATTTCTGCGGTGACGTCTGCGATTCGCAGTATTCGAGCGGTGAAGAGCGTGGCGATAATGGAGTCGTCGCGGGATCGATTCCGCGTGAACTGAAGCGAAAAACAAGGGAAAAGGGATAGGAAAGAGAAAGGAAGGAGAAAAAGAGGAAAAGGGGAAACTAATAGAAGAGAAGCCTAAAAGAGGGGAGATAGGAAAGAAAAAAAGGATAAGCGGGAAAAGGGGAAAACTTCAATAGAATGGTTTAACTACTAAAAGCGGGGACAAGAAGGAGGCGCAAAGACGGCGCTGATACATGTGCGACCCTATTGGGTGAGAACGAGAATGCCCCTTGGACCTTACCTAAGGGAGATTGCGGGTTCGACCAGACCCTACTGCGACGCCCGTGGCCACGAATCCTCGTGGGGTTACGAAGTGCCCATATCCTTCCTGCTGCCCTGCAGTCAGCCATTGCCGGTGCGTCCATCCCTGTGGTCCGCGCGGAGCTGTTCCTCCTCTCGTAGTTGCCGCCTGCAACACGAAGCCCTGCAGGAAGTAGGAACCCTGAACCTACAGTCCTGCTGTTGTGCCCTGCACTTTACGGCACCTTACCTGTAGCCCTGCTACAGGCGTGACCCTGGCCGCGTCCCCCTGGGATCGCCTATTCCAGAGCCACCGGGCACTTGCCGGGGTAGCGACGCAAATCGCCCGTTACCCGTTCATCGCTCGATCAGAAGGGGACCCTAGGCGGGAGACAGTAGGCGGCAGGTGCCACAGTCTCTGCAGACTAGCGCTCCCATCCCTCATCCCGGGCTCGCGGTTCGGACCCGATGCTAGGACGTGGGCTAGGCCGTTCTAGGGGACTTGCACTCGGTCGCCAAGGGCGGAAACCCGATGCTCTCCTAGGCCTGGCTACTACCGAGCCCGTAGGATGACCAGAGGGCCCACCCTGGTGCAGAGCCGTCAGAGCCCCACTTAACGGGGGGTTGTCTCAGACCCTTCCCAGCTTTCCAGCCGGGGCAGGCGGCTTCGAATCACGCGGTCCGATGCAACCATGCCGTGTTCGGGAGCGGTTCCCTCTCTAACCCTCCAACACGACGCATCAAGGTGGTTCGGAGCCATCGTGGTCCTTCCCGGACACCGCCATCCTACGGTCTTCCCGGGACCATGCTGTTTCCGCAAGATGGCCTCGTCCCCGGGCGTCACGGCTTCCTAACCAGAAAGGGGGTTTAAGGGTCGCGGTAAGCGGTAACCGCAGGGGCAAGGCCACCGACGGCCGGGTTCCAGCCAAGGCCGAGGCTCCCTTGCCCCGGCTACCAACCCACAACATACAGCACAAGAAAACCTATTGCGCCTTGTCGGCCCCTGCCCTGCGCTCCAAAACTACTACCAACTACAACAACTACAATTAAAAATATACTTACATTATTGGCGGATATTGGCGTAATATAGTGACGACCTACTCTTCTTATCTTCTGCCGCTTGGAGATACCAACCATCGCGTCGTCCATCCATCGGCGTCGGCGGTGAAGTGGCGCACTGCTGGCGCCTGCAGCGCAGCGTCCATCCGGTGTAGCGGACGCTGCTTGCCAGCGCTCCGACAGGACGGACAGTATGCGACCATACTGCCGGTGTCAGTGACACCTCCGAGCGTCCAGCTTCCTCAGCGTTGCCGGCCAACGCCTCCTCCGGAGGGAGCGAAGTGCGCCGACTGGCAGAGGCGGCTCGCTTAGTATGTCCCGGCTGGAGGCGGGGACCGGAGGCGGAGCACGCCCTATCGTCGGGCGTGCAACCGCCACGGGCCTGCGCACAGCAGGCAAAGCGCGCGTTGCGCAACGGGACCACAGTCCGCACGCGACAGTTACATTTATTGTGCGAACAGAGAGTAGTCGGCGAGTCCCATGTCAATTTATGCCGATTGTTTTGCGGTGTCGTTGCTTCATTCAAAAGGGGATTGCTTGAAGCTTAATCATTGTGGGATTACACCGTTTCATTTGAGCTTTCATGCTGTATTTACCATAGATTAGGAGGTAGCACCCGCATGTCGATGAGGTTGACCGATATCGGCAGTGAACCGCTGATATCTCTAGCATATAGTACCACAGGACAAATCAATGGTATAACAGGTATCGCCGCCAGGGTCAACCGTCACGTTCAAACATTTTCAGGGTTTTTGCGACCCCCTTTCCTCAAGGGGGTCACCCCCTTCTCTCAAGGGGGTCCAGTTGCGACCCCCTCTTAGGTAATGGAAGTGCCGAATGTGCTGACTAAGTTTTAAGTGAAATATTTTTCTCACTCATTTCACTTAAAGACAGTGAACCAAAACCTTTTGAAGACAATGAACCTCCATGACATATGAACAGAACATTCGAATATTGAATTCTTCACTGACATTTGAATTGAATTCTTTTCAAAAATCATTGAATTTTTTTCAAAAATTCATTGATTTTTTGAAAAAAATACATACAAGGGGGTCGTATCAAATCACCCATGAAGGGGGGGGGGTCGTAAAAAATGTCCAGAGTAACAACGATAGGGTTGACCCTGGCCAGGATCTCGATTTTGGGGGGGGGTCGTACTTCTGCGACCACGTACTCGACACGATTTTCACCCTGGTTGAGAGTGCACCTTCTTGGAATTTTGGGTTTCCCACTTCTAACAGAAGCACTTTCCGGAGAGTTAGGCAATCCTTGTCGTTTTCTAAGAGCGCACCTCAGGTGCAATCAAAATCCACCTCAACAAGTCAGAAAAAGTACGTCTCAAGAAAGTTAATCCCCTCTAAAATTTTTTCTTCGCCGCGTCCCGTTCTTCCAGCGCCCGGCTGATACCTGCCGCGCTCCAAGGATGACGCCGCAACGCAGGCGCTTTCTGCGGCGGCGGCGCACACACTTTCTGTCGCAACGAATTCATGTCCGCTTATTAACAAAAACAGGGGGTCGCAACTGGACCCGCTTATTAACAAAAACAGGGGGTCGCAACTGGACCCGTTCGAGAGCTAGGGGGTCGCAAAAATCCCGAAAATGTTCGAACGTGACGGTTAACCTTGCTCTACATTGGTGCAACTCGCTTATTCACATCAAATCAAAGTTAGAGGGGTCGTATTAAGACCCCAACCTGACGGAGGGGGACGGTCGTGCTGATGTGACCACGTCCTCGGCACGATTTTCACCCTGCCACTGAGGCATTACCCCTTGGCTGTCGAATGACATTGAGAAGTGAAGCCACCCCCTAATTTTTTTCTCCGAATCGGTTAGCAGTTTTAAAGTCAGATTCAAGATCGGCGTACCAAGATGCATGTGCGAGTAAAATCTCGTCTTGATTGGTCATGGTGATCTGAAGGGTTTCATTTGTTAGCCTACTTGCAGGCCCGCGTTGGTCTGAGAAAAACGACTGCGCTTAGACCAAGGTCCGTCACGTTCGAACATTTTCAGGATTTTTGCAACTCCCTAGTCTCGAGGGGGACCAGTTGCGACCCCCTGTTTTTGTTAATAAGAGTGCTAGACATGAATCCGTTGCGCCAGAAGGCGTCTGGCGTCGTCGCGTCGGCCTTGGAGCGCGGCAGGTATCACCCGGGCGCTGGAAGAAGGGGACGCGGCGAAGAGAAAATTTTAGAGGGGAATAACTTTCTTGGGACGTATTTTTCGACTTGGTGAGGTGGATTTTAATTGTGCCTGAGGTGCGCTTTCATGAAACTACAAGGATTGCCTAATTCTCCGGAAAGTACTTCTGTTAGAAGTGGAAAACCCAAAATTCTAAGAAGGCGCACCTTCAACTTTGAAGGCCCATAAAATCTTTCGTACCTTCTGGAAAGCCGTCAAAAGTATCAGAAACTTCAATTATTTCTCTTACAAAATAGTATAAAAAATTTAGTGATTGTCCCCTTTTTCGAAAAATTGTCCCGTTCGAACATTTTTCGTGCAAAACCGAGCACTTTTTTCATGGGGTGAAAGTAGAGGAGTTACTCTTTCTAACAAGCCTCAAACCGTTTTGCAAAGTTTATTTTTCAAGAAAATCACACATTCGAACATTTTGGGGGGTTTTGCCGACACTTTTTCTTGAAATCGCGAGTTTTTGGGCTTTAAAGGAGGATTGCACGGAAAGAACGAAGGTCAGAAAGAAGGGAGAAATCACCTAGTGGGGAGAGCGGTGAATCTCTTGAGGGTGCGGACAGACACGCAATCGGCATCAAAAGATTTGACCTCTGAGATCTAGCATGACTCAAAGTTGGCGAGTTCGGCGATCTCCGCCCACCGATCGTCTGATCACTCGCCGTAGTACAATAGGTGGCGAGTGATTAGATAGCTGAGAGAGCGTAGGGTTGAAGAGGGCAAAGCGATGAGAGTCCCATCAATGCTCAAATCAACGCACAAGGAAGGGGTCCCATTTCTCCGGTTCTGGGCCGTCTTTCGTGG